TACCCCCGGGGTAAGTACACGCTCCGCCATTATTGTGAATTCCCCCCGTTTTTTTTCGGACGATCTTTCACGAGCATTTCACCATCACAACGCATCAGTGCTGACGCACCCAGAGGACATACAGTGTTTGGACGGTACCCGTCATCCGTCGAACGCTTGCTCGCGTATTTTCTCCATTGCGGGAACACAGAGTGTGTGAATGAGAGTCTTTTTTTCTGTTCTCTCCAGGGGTAATCCACCCCCGGCGTATTCACGTGGAAAAATAACCCTTACCCACCTTTGTGTCTACCCTCGAGGGAGCACAATTTAAGAGGCTAAGTTCATCCGATACGGCACCGTCGACTACGGTAACACAATTATTGTGGATCAATTTTCTGGCACATACGAAAACCCAAGACGGCAGGATATATCGTTGGAATGGTCTACCACTTGACTGCCAATACACGGTAGCGAACGCACTCCTCTGGAGCCATCAACCCGGTGTAACAGAACTCAAAGTGCGACCACGCAATGCTCCTGAAAACCTCACTTTTCGGCCTCAAACTTCGAGACATTCAATATGTGAGACATCCAAGGCCGAAAATAACACAAACCACTAGTGGGCTGGCGTGGCATTTAAGCCACAAACAGCGCAATACACAGCGATGTATTCCATATTCGTTCCGTGCTTCAAGAACTATCGCAAGCTTCCCAGTATAGCGCAAATATCCTCACCTTGCACATCAAGCCCCGGGCAGCAGTGATCCTCCTAGACGCACCCTTGCCCTTGCCCTTGCCCTTGCCGTCACCCTTGTCGTACTTCACATGGGCCCAGTCCAGTTCGCAAGTTCTACTCCGCCTCTCGCTCACGGCGTATCCCCACTCGCCTAGTTGGACGACTGGGTGCACGCCGATGTCTTTTGCTTCCGCCACCATCCCCAACAACAACGTTTCTTCGACTTCCGACAAGAACGCTTTAGCTCGGGCTTGCGAGATACACGCGGTCAAACCGGCGTACGGACATCCGTTGATGCCGTTGAAAAAGATAGGCGTCGCGTCCACCACCGTGTTCTTGTCAAGCGCCTCCAACGACGCAGCGGCGTGCTCGCAAATGGCCCCCGTAGCACTCTGAACGCCAGCGTTGGCCCCCGCTGTTTGGCTAACCGATCGCTGATAAAGAAGCATCCTGAGAGACGAACAAGGCGAGTAAACATGCGACGACAATTCAGCAACAACGACAATTCTACAACACGTTGGACAAAAGGAAACCCATCTGAAAACAGCAATAATCGGACCGGCCAGTACTTCAAGGAGCTTCGACCTGGTGCTTCGTGCACCATTTCGCATGACCCAACCAACAACAAATAACAGCAAGCGAGCACTGGGCACACCCTGCTTGACATGGCTAACCGGTCACACCCTGTATCTCATGGTTCGCTCACGTGTGGCACTCTAACCTAGAGCAGCTGCTCCGCGGTGAAGGCTTCGGGTTCGTCGCTGTTGGCGCAGGATTCCGTCGCACCGTCGTCACTACCCAGTTTTGGTTCGCAGCGATGCATACCGACCGTGGTGTTTACGGCATTATCCGCTGCAGGCAAGCGTATCACGCTCACGGGTACATGCCGCGGAGCTCCTCGTCCCCTACCGCCCCCTAATCCGGCGACCAAACCCGTACCCCTTGATACCCGGTTGGCTGGTGGCACCGCCCGTGTTTTCCTTGAGCAGCTGGTTAGATGGAACGGCGCAACGGTGACAATTGTAGGCAATGGGGAGGTCGGATTTACTTTCGAGACACATGTTGCGAGCGAGAGGCCTACATAGGTAACGTGTCCCGTGCCCGGGTTTGCGAGGGTTTCGGGGGTCGAACCCACAAGCTAAATCTTCATCTATAGGTCGCGGCGAAAACATGACGCAAGAAGGGAAGACCGACCTGCTCGAAAGAGGGAGACGGTATATGACAAAAGAAAGGAACAGGCTCACCTTTTGCACTCGCACCACGTCTTGATGCTTTTGTGGCACTCGCAGCACTTCTGTTGGAGATCCTTGTTGAACCCGTGGTAGCAGCGCGCCCTGCACGCCCATCGCGGGCACCTATCCTCCAGACAGAGTCTCTTTTTCTGGTTTCCGTATAAAGGCAATGTACCACACGCGGAGCACCGGCGGTTTAGTGTGGTCCTTGTCCGCGCAGGTCTGCCAACTCCTCTGCCACCACTGGTATTAAGGGCACCAACTCTCGTTCCTGGTGAGGATTGCACACCGCCTCTCCCGCGGCCGCTCGCTGTTGCAGCGGGACCAGCCCCCCCTGCTTGGCTACCGCCCCGCCCAGGACGTTGGCCGCCGACGCTGGCACCACTACCTCTACCACCGCTCAGAGTTTGGCTATCGCCCCGCCCAGGACGATGAGCGCCGACACTGGCACCACCACCTCTACCACCGCTCAGAGTGCGCGCAGGTCTGCCACCTCCTCTGCCGCCGTTGGCGTTAAGGGCACCAACTCCCGTTCCTGGTGAGGGTTGCACACCGCCCCGCACAGGGACTCGACCGCCGACACCACCCCTCCCGCGGCCGCTCACTGCAGCAGCGGGACCAGCCCCCCCTGCTTGGCTACCACCCCACCCAAGAACGTGACCGCCGACGCTGACGCCGACACCACTGCCTCTACCACCGCTCAGAGCGCTCATAGCAGACCCACTTTCTTGGATACCACCCCCCACAGGACCTGGACCCCAAGCTGCGCAAGATAGCGTGTCCTGCTGCATGAGTCCCACACCGCTCGCTGTTGTTCTTGGAGCAGGCAGAGGAGGTGCTGATGCTTCACTGGGTCCTGGCTGCTGTAAACTGGCAGTGCTAGACGCAAGTTCTGCGCTACGGTGGTTGACCATCCCTCCTTGCATGAGTCCCACACCGCTCGCTGTTGTTCTTGGAGCAGACAGAGGAGTTGCTGATGCTTCACTGGATCCTGGCTGCTGTGCTACATTGGCAGTGCTAGACGCAAGTTCTGCGCTACGGTGGTTGACCATCCCTCCTTGCATGAGTCCCACACCGCTCGCTGTTGTTCTTGGAGCAGGCAGAGGAGTTGCTGATGCTTCACTGGATCCTGGCTGCTGTGCTACATTGGCAGTGCTAGACGCAAGTTCGGCGCTACGGTGGTTTCCATGCATCGGCGGCGTAGAGCACTCCGGTACTCCTGTGTGTTCGAGCGTAGAGCATGCTAACACAGATACAGTCCCGTGTGCCGTCGGTCTTCAGGGGCGTCGGTGATTGGCTGGACTGCTAATACATTTCCATATTGTAGCCCATACGTTTGTAGTGCCAATTTTTTTTTGCTCGTGAAGACTGCTGGAGCAGGGGGGCTGTTTGGGGTGCTCGGCAGAGTATACTGTCTACGGGGCCTCCGGGGGGTACGCGGATGAAATGTGTTGATGGGCATGCTGCATGGCGATGGTGTTGCCTACCGCATGTCTCTCACTCTCTAATCAACCAAGGTCTTGAGTCAACCTTCTTTCTCTTTCGGCCTCTGACGGGCTACCGCACCCAAACATTTGAGTACCGTTTTTATGGGCAAAAAAATCTTTATCGTTGGTTTTCTCAAATGCATCGCACGTGCGGCGGGAATCGTGGTCTACTGCTACCAAACGATTTGTGACAGATAAACCACAAATGCGTCATGGAAACTGAATGTAACGAGTTCGCAAAGGGCTCCCCACAACCCTTGATGCACTGATGCTGTGCCCGCCAACATGTGGCGATAGCGCTCCGGGGGTGCGAGAAAAAATGTTCTCGGTGTCAAAAAGAGACCAAAACGTGCGTCAGCGCTTCCCAACGGCAAAAAGTTGACCGCTTGAGAGGGCACGTGAGTACAAAACTATCCAGCTCTCGTCCTCTAGGCCATCGATTCATGTTTTGTCTTCTTGGGTGTCTTCTCCATGAACGACTCTCATCCGGTTGTGCGTGGGTTGGCAGTGGCCGCGCTCTGCCGGCAGGGAGGCACATCGTTGTGCGCGCAAAGTTGTGGACACAAACGTTTTTTTCGGTCTATTTTTTCACTTGAATATAGAGGGCTTGTTCCTCCGTCCCAAAAAAGACTTTTTCAGCACATCGAAATCACAGCGACGCACCTCCCTTCCTGTTGAGTACGTCCACTGCTGAACCGCGAACACCCGGATGAGAGCCGTTGATGGAGAAGACACTCAAGAAAACAAAACATGAATCGATGGTCTAGAGGACGAGAGCTGGATAGTTTTGTACTCACCTCTCCTCTCAAGCAGCCGACTTTTTGCCGTTCGGAGACGCAAACCACGCTTTCTCCGTGCCCTCCAAACCACCCCTATCTGTTTGTTTTTTTGTGCACGCTTGACGAGCTCCCGCCATGTATCAGCCGGCAAAACGTTGACACGGTGACGCTAGGGTTGTCCAGATCCCTCTATGAGCTTGCTACGTTGAGTGTGCGCTGCGCAGTGGTTGGTGTTTAGGCCGGAAGGGGCGGTCGGCTACTAATCTCGCCGCTCTTGGGAAACATTTTCGCGACCTGCCCCATTTCAAAATGTTTGAGAATATTTTGGCAAAGATATTCTCCCATAAACAGTGAAACAAAATCTTTATCCGCAAATGTTTGAAATATAAACATTTTCGCAAAGATTTGGCGACCATAAACATGGGTCTAAGTGTTCTGAGGCTTGTGCGTGTTATCAGAGTACCCAAGACCGGCCGTAACGTACATATACATGTTTGTAGGTCCTAGCACTTGCTTGGTCGGCCGGCTGCACGACTCTCCGTCTCTCTCTGACTCTCGCTGTGTGTGTGTCTCTTTCTCTCTCTCTCTCTCTTCCTCTCTCTCTTTCTCTGTCAATCGCTCTGTCTCTCTCTGCCCATGTGTCCCTCCCTCTCTCTCCCTCTCTTTCCCTCTGTCTCTCGCTCTGTCTCTCTCTAAACCGGCCAGTTTCGTAAGCGACGAGCACGCCACATCACTGCATGCCGCCGACACAGCAGCAGTTGTAAAATAAGTATATGCTCCACTGATCGCTGCTGAAGAATGCATACATTGTCATGCATACAGCAGCGCGTACATCGTTGTTCTTGACATAAAAGGCCATATTGACATATTTCTCGTCAAGCATGAGATAGCGCGGCAGTGCGGTATGTAAGTTCCTTCCATTGTATTGATTTCGCTACCAATCTAGCAGAGTTCGGATCGACCCTTGTTGTTTTTCGCCTCTGTAGGGTGATTGTTGAAAGCAAGCCGACGAATATCGTCGGCGTTGCTAGTCCCAAGCTTTATATTTTTATTTTAGTCGCGTGTTGCGCGTGTGCTGACACCACGAACGGGAAGGACCTTAATTAGCCGACACACTACGCAATAATGGTCGTGATGGACGCGGGTACGCAATAAAAAAACAACACATACATCCGATCCTCGGGAATCACGAAATGCAACGTCTACATACACACGGTAGGCACTCTGTCTGTCCCTTTAACACGGTACGTACTGCTTTTGCCTACCACTCACTCTCGTCCTCTCGTCCGCATCAACAACAAACAATGCAACTTGCCGCACAACAAGAGCCATCCCTGCAGGAAAAGCTGTACAAACAAGCAAAAAGCAGCTCCTGCTGCGGTAAGCTGCTGCTGTATGTACCATTTTTCAGCACGCACGAACAACAGATACAGCACAGGCGAAAGAGCTGAGTCTGCCTGTCTGTGTCTGCGTCGGCGTGAGTAGGGGTGGGTGTGAGGTATCGATAGAGTAACGACAGGATGTTTTTTTATGTTTATTCTTCTTAATATGACACAACGAATCCATCTCCATCATAGAAAAGAGTCTGAGACAGATTAGCAATGAATTCATTGTGTATGGCATCTCGACGAGTATCGTCGCGTTGCCTGTCTGAAGCTTTCGATTTTTGCAGCGGGTAACAATCAAGGTAGACACCAAGAAGATGCCCGATGAGCACACAGGAACCGGGGGACCCCAAAAAACAAAAGCATGAAAAACAAAAGAAAGAAAGAAGCGAGAACAAACGAGTCAGACGCGACAGGCTTCAGGGAGGAGGCAAAAGAGCGCATAGAAGAAAAGCACCGTCGCCGCTCGCTCCGGACCGCTGGAAACTCTCACATAGCACTACATATGGAGCAAATATTAGGTAGGGCCCAAGTCCATTGCTTGGCATAACGCCCATCGCTTCACATGCAGCAGCCGGATGCACGGGTAGCCTCTTACTCAGCAAAAAGCGAAACGACTGCGGTTGGTTGACGTTCGATGTTGTTGGGACCCTACCGGCGAAAGGCGAGAGAGAGAGAAAGAGAGGTAGACAAAAATACGAGAGCGGAGAGAAGACAAGGCATTGACTCTCTCGAGAAGAGAAGGCATTGACTCTCTCGAGAAGAGAAGGCATTGACTCTGTCGAGAAGACACTCACTCTCGTCCCTCTGGCCCGCCGCAGGCTGTCAGACATGATGTCACGTTGTGTATCGAACGGCGATATCCGATGTCGGCTCAGCAACAGCAAACAAGCACAACAACAAACAAATATAGTCAGTCGCCGTGTGCGAGCTGTGGACTACTATCTTGTTGTAGGAAGTGAGAACTAAAAAGAGCACGACTACATAGCACCACGGACGAACTATTATCGCAATACGCTTGCCGTCCGCCATAGATGCGCACCGCTGCACGAACGAGCTGTTGGTTATCATACCTCACTACGTAGTATCTAAGATTGTGCTGCCATCTAGCTTACCTATCGCTCAAATTACGACTACGCAGCAGACTCAAGGCAAGGAAGCAACACGCGTGCCGATGCATACCAACCATGCATGCAGCAAAACAAAACAAGGCGGACCGTCTGTTGTTGTTTGTCTCTTCAACTGACTGTGCTGCCGACAACGACACTGGAAAAAAGTAGGAGACGCGCATCGCCTACGCGAGCAACGCGTGCAGCCCAAAAAAACAGAGACGATAACCTTACGACCTTTCTTTTCAGCACATTCCGAGCATATACTGCAGCAACCGCAAGTATGTGTACAGCAGCAGCCGCATGTTGTGTACAACAACGGTCACTCAGGAAGAAAATCACAACAACAAACAA